GCCCTGGAGAGGAGGCAAATGGAGGTGTCTCTGACCTGACAGTGGTTAGGAGACAGCCCACTGAGGAAGTAAGGGCATCAGGGGAGGAAACAGGGAGTAGAGAGATCCTGGGACTTTCAGGGAGGGGCCAGGCTGTGGGGATGTCTTACACCCATGAGCTTCGTGCCAGGCTGTGGGGCAGTCCAAGATCTGTGGGGGAGGCAACAATCTATGAGAATATTCCCAGAGTATCTGCAATGAGAACAACTGTGCCTTCAGTTTCAAGGGAGGAAATAGGCCTTGGCCATTTCAGAGATAATCTGCAGGGGAATGGGGGCAGAGCTGTGGGAGGAGTTCCTGAAGCTAGAGAGAGAGTGAAGGATTTGGGAGAGAGGAGGGAGGGTGGATTGAGGGGAAGCTGTCAGTAGCTTTGTGTAAAGCAAATTGGAAATTGTCCTGGGATTCTTGGGAGGGAAGAGGTTGGGGAATGATTTGTCTTGGGTATAAGTGAAAAAAACAGATTAGTTGTAGGGAATCTCATGATTCCTGGAGAGATACTTTGTGGCAACAGGTGTGCAGGGAAACAGGTGTGGGGAGACTTCTGGAAAGATGGGGAATGCATTGCAAGGAGAGGGCTATCCCAGGACTTTGTATAGGGAATGGTGGGGTGGGTGTCCCTGACTTGTGTGTGAATGTGTGTGTGATTGATGACTTAAGGTGTACAGCCCCAACTCTGCAGCTCATGCTGTGGCTTCAGCCCTGTGATACTCGCACGCCAGCTGGCATTGCCTTACTTGTGTGCCTCCTGTCTGCCTCTTGGATCATGTCTCTGTAGTCTTAGAAACAAGGAGTTGTGTACAGCTGCCCTATGTTCCTTCAAATGCATCTGCCTTTAAGAGGATCCAGTCCAAACTTTGGATTTATTTTTTTTTTTTAATTTAAGCTAGCTTTTTTTCTCTCTTAACCTTGAATTTCCTAGTTGATTTACTATAGGATTCTTTGAGAGAACAAATTCTTCGGTGTACTTAAAACTTATAATTTCTCAGAAAATTGTTCAACACAACCATGTTGAGTTAAATTGTTTACTGTGTACAAGTACTGATTTTGGGAAATACAAGAGTGACAAAGCCCTCAAGTCTCAAGGATCCTTGTTCAGCTGGAAAGCTGAGACACAGACTTTGAAATAGGTAAATAACTATGTGTGAGGACATGGTTAACCCTTGAATGGTAGGGCCATTCAAGTATGTTCAGTATCTTCAGAATAGAAGAACGAGGGTGGGGTTCTTACAGCTTTCTCGATTCTTCAGTAGCTGTGGGCTCACTGCCAATGTATACAGGGTGTGGATGATGGTGCACTAAACATCTAGATTCTTCAGTAGCCGTGAGCTCCCTGCGAATGTATATAGGGTATAGATGATGGGGGAACTAAACACCTAGAGAGCCCGTTCGTTCCACTGGTTAAACCCCAGCTTTACTTAGAGTCACTCAGAATTTTATCTGAGCTACTTAACAGAGGAATACATTGTGCTTTTTTGACCAGCCATTAGGATCTATGCAAGTAGAACATGTCCATGAAACTGTCTAATCACAACAATAGTTTATCATAAAAGAACTAATGTCTTACTGTAGACTCTTGAGATTTGAAGTGAAAATGGTCTGAGGGACTATCATTAAAATAGTAGCTCCCTATTCTTTTGAAAATGAGAATGTCAAAAGTGGTTGCTTTAATAAATATAAGACATAAACCTCTTTCTAAGCCGTTATTCTTGCATGAGTTTACTGTAGGTTCACTCTGGAATGCTGCTACATAACTCTGCATGGGATTGTGGGTTGCTTCATCTGGTTTTTGAAGATTGTGGCGCTGTTTAACTTTAGACATGTTTAATTTAAGGGAGATTTGCCTGATTACTCTGTGATCACTGTTCTTCACCACCTGATGTGATGGGACCAAGCCAGCCAGCTTCTACCTGTGTTCACCTAGCATCCGGTATCCAACTAAATGGGAGGAGTGACCTCAGGAATCTTCAGCCCCAGGTTGTTTTACTGTTTTCCTTTGGATATTTATTACAAAACTTTTGTTTTGTTTTGTTTTGTTTTGAGACTGGGTTTCTCTGTGTAGCTTTAGAGCCTGTCCTGGCACTCGCTCTGGAGACCAGGCTGGCCTCGAACTCACAGAGATCTACCTGCCTCTGCCTCCCAAGTGCTGGGATTAAAGGCATTCATCACCAATGCCTGGCTACAAAACATTATAAAACATAAAGAAAAGTTGAAAAATAAAAAGACATTGAACATTTTGTGCCATTTTCTAGATTCAGCAGTTGTTAATAATTTGCTGATTTGTGTCTGCTCAACCATCTGTCTCTAAGGTTTATGTATAAGCATACCAAAGAAAGCTACAAACATGATGCTTTTTTTTAAAAAAAAAATTTCAGAACACTTTAAAAATGAACTCTCTTACCTAATTGTACTATTATCACACTTAAGAAAATAACTTTAAAAAACCCAAAACTTATGTGTGTGTGTTTCTGAGTGTATGTGCATATGTGTGTGCAAAGTTACTTTTAGAGGATAGAAGAGGGTGGGCGCTGGATCCCTCCAGGCTACAGTGTGAACCCTGGAACCGATTACCCACAAATAGCTATTTAATTGCTCAGTCTTCAGTTGTATGAAAAGTAAGAGTTCAGTACTTGGTTAAAGTATTTTGGGTGTCTAGGCCCAATGATGGATAGTTCAAATACTATGTTCAAAAGTTATAGGTTAAATTTTTTCCCACTCATTTTTTAGTGTAATTGATTTTGGTTCACTGTTTTCTGTTGGTATTCTTTTCTAGGGTTTTCCATTATCTTTATGGAGCTATATCCCCTCACCCCTCCCTCCCTTGTGTTTGTGAAGCATTCACATGGTTCCATTATAAACCTGTGCAAACAGGTTTATTCAGGGCAGCATTGTTCTCCACCCGGTTTTCTTTTATTCTTTCCATCTTGTTCCCATTCACATCCTATGAATAACCCATCTCATTAACCTCCATTTTTCTTTGTCACTTTCTTTCTGTCCTAAGGCCCAGATGCGTGCACATATTCTTTTGGTGTTATCTTTTCTTGATAATACTCTTCCTTCTTTTTTTTCTGAGAAATCTCCCACACCAGTTCCTAGTGCTGTTTCTAAAGATGTCCTCATGTCTTACATTTCTAGCACTCTATTCTGCAGCTGTCCCAAAATTTATTCCATGGCCAACCCTATGTAGACATGTAGGTTGATTTCAGTAACTGGCAGTAACAAACCATGTAATAGTAAGTAAGCCTTTATATGTGTATTGTTGGGAGTATGTCTGTCTTAGTTAGGGTTTTCTTGCTGTGAAGAAACACCATGACCACACTAACTCTTCTTACAAAGGGAAGCATTTCATTGGGGCTGGCTTATAGTTTCAGAGGTTCAGTCCATTAGCATCATGTGGGATCATGGCAGCATGCAGGCAGCTGGCAGCTGAGAGTCCTCCATCTTGCTGGCAACTGGAACTGAATCTAGGTCCTCTGGAAGAACACTAAGCACACATCACTGCCAAGCCATCTCTCCAGCTCCCTGTGGTTTCTTTTTTTAATATCAGTTAAGGAGCCCTTTATACTTGCAAATATTTTCTTCTAGTTCTTTGATCTTTTTTATTGGGGCTTTATATTTGTGTGTTTGTGTATTTGTTGGTTCTTAACCAGGGAGAAATTTTAAAAGAAAATTCTTTTATTTTTTTGTTTCTTTTGAGACAGGGTTTCACTGTGTAGCCCTGGATGTCCTGCAACTTACTATGTAGACCAGGCTGGCCTTGAACTCAGAGATCCACCTGCCTCTGCCTCCTGAATACTGGGATTAAAGATGTGTACCACCAATGCCCAGCTAAGAAATTTCTTTCTTTATTTTTTTCCTTCTTTCTTTCTCTCTCTCTCTCTTTCTTTTTTCTTTCTTTCTCTCCTTCCTTCTCTCTCTCCCTTCCTTCTTTCCTTCCTTTCTTCCTTCCTTTACTTCTTTCTTTCTCTCTGTCTCTCTCTCTCTCTGTCTCTCTCTCTCTCTCTCTTCCTTTTTTTTTTTTTTTTTTTGAGACTGGGTTTCTCTGTGTAGCTTTGGAGCCTTTCCTGAAACTAGCTCTTGTACCCCAGGCGGGTCTCGACCTCACAGAGCTCCGCCTGCCTCTGCCTCCCGAGTGCTGGGATTAAAGGCGTGCGCCACCAACGCCCGGCTCTTTCTTTCTTTCTTCCTAGATTTATTTATTTATTATGTATGCCCTGTTCTGTCTGCATGTATGCCTATAGGCTAGAAGAGAGCACCAGATCTCACTACAGATGGTTGTGAGCCACCATGTGAGTGCTGGGAATTGAACCCAGGTTCTCTGGAAGAGCAACCAGTGCTCTTAACTGCTGAGCCATCTCTCCAGCCCTAACATTTTTTTTCTTTTTAAATCTATATCTTTCTGGTTTTCTTTTGTTGTTGTTGTTATTTTCTACTTAGTGAATTGTTCCTACTCCTGCTTTATCACCCATCTCTCCCAAAAAAGTTCCTGAAGTTTTATATACATGCGATTATTTGAGCACATTTATTGTGAGTGTTGGGAGGTCTCCCAATGAAGGTACCATGAGATTGGGTCTACTGAATTCAACAACATGGATTCTTTTACTTGCCTTTCATAGGTAGACCCCTTTTATGTTTTAAAGTCATAAAACTATTTATTTCTCATGGTCTGGTAATCCTAGAGCACCTTACTTAACCTAAGGAAATAATGTAAAAGCAGAAAAACAAAGCAAAATAAAATCCTAAAGACAACCCTATACTAATAATGTACCTGTTAGTGGAAAAACTAGAACAATCTGTTTAATGTAGTTGTAGCTTAGCTTAAAAGGCTAGGTTTTGAAGATTAGAAAATGCAGCTGTAAAGTCGTCTTAAAAACCATCAGGAGCCAGATGTTGGTGGCTCATGCCTTTAATCCCAGCACTCGGGAGGCAGAGGCAGGTGGATCTCTGTGAGTTCGAGACCAGCCTGGTCTACAAGAGCTAGTTCCAGGACAGCCTCCAAAGACACAGAGAAACCCTGTCTCGGAAAACAAAAAACAAAAAACAACAACAAAAAAAAACCATCAGGAATGTGGGAGCATGTTTATGTTTAAATATAGAGAATCATAAGGTCTACCTATATGATGAATCTGGTAAGAACCTAAATCTTCTTAAGCCTGGGTAACTGGACTTTTAGAACAAGGTACTTTTATGGGTGCAGGGTAAAAGGTGTGTCCAATGACCAGATGAAAATCTGGGGAGGACCTAGGGCTAGCAACAGTGGCTTAGGTCTGCTGTGTGGTATGTGCCTGTGGGGCTGTTTCTAGGAATGCTCTAATCCAGGATCTTTGTGTCTTACTAGACTTCAACATCTTGAAACAGGACAGATCTATAGTTGGGAGTTGAAGAACTTACTGGTTGCATGAAGCATTGTAGGGCAGGCTTTGCAGGAGGACCAGTATGCTACTGTTAGCAGGTGGAAGACTGCAGGACTAAATGACTTAGTACAGAACCTTGTATGCGGTGTATGCAGGTGACTGGTTCCATGGGCACACCAGAAAAATATCTTTATATACAGACAGTCTTCTGGGTAAAATATTAGGAACTGGTGTGTGTGTGTGTGTGTGTGTGTGTGTGTGTGTGTGTGTATGTATGTATGTATGTATGTATGTATGTATGTGTATGTGTATCAGCTGTGCAATATGTCATCTTTCTAATGAGAGCTTACTTATATTTCTTAAACCAGCTGCAGTTTAATAGGAATGTTCCTACACATCCCAGCAACTTGGCAGTCCGATACTCTTGTCCACATGCAATTAAAATTGAAAAACTGAAGCACTCATATAATGAATTGTATCATTCTAAAGACTTGGATTTTAGAGACGGAAATGATCTAAGCAGTTCTGTCTCATTTTCTGTCGTATCAGAAGAAAGGCTTAGCTATGCTGTCCACCTAGCCAAAAGAGATGTAAAACGAAGACAGTTTGAAGAACACATGAAAGATCATCTCAGAAGTCATTCCCATAACGCTCACAAATGTGTACATGTCAAGGTGGAAAAGAAGGACTTAAAGAGTCAGGATGTCTGTCATAGCAGCCATCAACCATCCAAAGTAGACATTTCCAGTTCGGGTGCCAAGGTTTATATATATGCATCTCATCCAGGACGATCGGATCTTCCTGTGCCAAATTCACCACCTACCCATGATCCAGGACTTCAGCCACAACCCAAAATAGAGGAGCACAAAAACCTATGGGAACAGAAAAGCCTGCTAGAAGTTCAACGACTCCGAAAGGAATTGAGCAGTTGTATCCATAAAATAGAAGCAGTAACTAAAAAAGGTGAGAAAAACCCAATTCTTCATTTGATGAGATGCCATGGTGTGGGATAATTCAAATGCATTCATTTTGGGGACCCTTCTTCCAACATACACACTACCAAGTTCTGCTGCCTCCTATGAACTGGTTGGTTCAGTAGAACTGAACAACCACTATAAAAGAGTTAGGCTTGGAGACTGACCTGGGCTCTGTCCACTCTCACTGCCTGACATCTAATACCTGTGTACAAAGCATCTTATGATATTTTCCTTGTGAATACAGAAGTGCTTCTGTCAAAAATGATGTTTAATTTGCTTTAAAAGACCATAAGATATGTATATTGTAGATAAACCCACTTCATATCTGACCGCAGGGTCAAAGGGAAGAAGTACTAATTTCACAATAATCTCACTGCCCTTGCATTTCTTTGGGAAGTAGTAGATTCAAGAGTAGAGAGTAGGGTTTCTATAGCCAACAAGTAAGCCAGCTGTTAGACAGTGGGGCATGAGGAATTGTGTAGCAAAAGGAGCTATTAGACTATGATAATATATTGTCTAAAATTATATTTTGCATTTAAAGTTTAATTAAAATGTGGACATCTAAATATATGCATGTTGGAGAAAAAATGTAATTCTTTTTAAAGTACCTGTTGGTTGATACAAGATAAAACTACATAGTGAGGTGTGGCTGGGTAGGAGACAAGAGGACTGGAAAAAGAGATGTACAAATTCATCTGCTCATTCCTAGGAACCAACTACACAAAAACTGCCGCTTGTTGGCAAACCAGGAACATCTAAAACAGAAAAATGCAGCTGCCTGAGAAAACCAACTCATACACACACAGCCAGTCTTCCTAATGAGCATGTTGTGTAATGATTGAACATCATGGGTGGTCCAGAACAGTGCCACAGACCACCTCAGAAGTATTGTGGTTTGTTTGCCATGATATCCGTTGGTGTAGGCTACTGGGGAACAGAGCTCCCAGGTCTCCTGCTCTAGTTATCTGGCCTAAGACCAGTACCTTTAGAACCAAGCTTTGGAAGCTCTGTGGGGGAAGGGCTGGCCTGGTCTACCTTCCTTTATGTAAATATTTTAGTGGATCTCAGATACTTGGTAACTATAATAACAATGTCCTGACTGAGGCAAATGACTAAAAAGACATGTGAATACATAGTTTCAGTTTCTGCATTCAGTAGTTGTGCTTCCCAAGCCCAGCTGGTTGCATTGGACTCACCTTGATGGTGAAGAGTTAAAAACCCCTGCCTCAACCAGTTCCTGTTTCTGTTCTTACAGGTATGTGAATGTGCATTTTCTCCTCACTGTGTGACCCAAATAGAGGTGGTAATAATTTAGCTTAGAGGTTCCCCTATGACTCTTACCTGTATGTGCAATTTCTGGTTTCAAAGTTTTGCCCTTAGCAGCCTAATTGCCTTAATCTTGTTTGATTCTTTTTTAAATTTGGTGCTAAAACTTAAACTCACACATACTTGGCAAGTGCTATACCGCCAAGCTGCACTCCAGCCCCACTCTCTCATGTGTAACATTTTAATGAGAAAATTAAATTCAGAATATACTTAAACTTGCAAAGTATTGCTGCTATCAAATTGTCTGTTAAGAGTTTTTGTTTGTTTTATATTGTTATTATTATTATTATTATTATTATTATTATTATTATTATTATAGTGAACCCAAGGTATTACACATGCTAAGCAAGCACTGAGCCTGGTTCTTCTGTATTGTTTTGGAGCCTGTCCTGGAACTTTGCTTGGTAGACCAGGCTGGCCTCGAACCACCTGTCTCTGCCTCCCGAGTGCTAGGATTAAAGGTGTGCGCCGCCAATGCCCGGCCTGTTAAGAGTTTTATAGAAGAATTTGTATAAATATATTTGGAAACAATGGTCTAGAAGAAGTGCATAAACTGGATTTCCCCTGGGCAGCTTTCTAGAAATGGTCTGAGCTGATCTTTTAAAAAATATGGGGAGCCAGTGTATACAAGAGTGTACTTCTTGATACATAGATGAAGACTTAGATTTAAATTCATTCAAATGATTTTAACACTTGTATCTTAATGTGTTAGAGAAAGAATTTCTCATTTGGATTCAGGATAAGAAAGTAAAATAATCTCACTTAGCATGAAAATAGTCCAGTAAAGATTTTTTTTTTTTTTTTTGAAAGTAGAGGAAGCTTTGTGAATTTTGGCTCAGTGTAAAGGAATTTTGAGACAGTAAGGAATGCTTCACAGTGAAGTGCAGTGGGATTTGTTTCAGTGAATTCTGGTGTGCTGGACAGCTTGCTAGCAACTTCCTGGCCCTTCTGTCCCTGAGTCAGTACACAGGCTCTTGCTTAGTCTTAACTTTGGCTGTTGGAGGTTTTCTTAGTAAGACCTGAGAGCCTCAGCTATTACTCCATTAAAGTTTCCTTGAGTTTCTTTGTGTGGTTTTTAACCTAATATGGGGAAAATACTTTCAGATAGACTAGAAGAAGCTTTGGATCCGGATGAAGAGCATCGAATCCGAGTGAGGAGACAGGAGCAAGCTGTGCGCTGTGCTCGAATGCTCTATGTTCTTCAGCAGCAGGTGTGGAAAAGCCAGGGGAGGAGCAGTGGGTGATCTGCATGTGGCTTTCTTAGGGACTTATAATTTTCCTTCTGTCACAGAAAGATGAGCGCAAAGGGCCCTGCATAAATTCTAATGAATTTTCAGGCTTAATTCCCTAAACTTATGGACAAGTAATTTGTGTGTGTGTGTGTGTGTGTGTGTGTGTGTGTGTGTGAGAGGAGAGAGAGAGAGAGAGAGAGAGAGAGAGAGATGTTCATATGATTAGGGTCCTTAAACAGTTGTTTTTGACTTTGGGGGCATAGGCTACTGAATCTGCTAAAAGCCATTCCTCCTTCTGAAAAAGTGCTTGTACATATGAGCCTGAGTCTTAAAGGGACTTTCCCATCTGTCTTAGAGAATAACATGGTTATTCTTTATTTCATGGTAGAATGAAGACTGTTGTCTTTCAGGAAATATTTAAAGGTTGGTAAACAGGCATTTGCATTGAATTTTTTGTGAGTGAGTCTGTGATGGATATTTCTTTAAAGTTTTAACTTTAATTCCCCCGTCGTCCCCCTCCCCCCCACCTCCAGGCAGGGTTTCTCTGTGTAGCTCTGGCTGTCCTGGAACTTGCTCTGTAGACCAGGCTGGCCTAGAACTCACAGAGATCTGCCTGCCTCTGTCTCCCAAGTACTAGAATTAAAGGCGTGTGCTACCACCATCTGGCAGCTCTTTATTTATTAATAAACCTTTAAATTTTTTCTGATCATTGAAGTTACATGTTGGTTTTTATAGCTTCAACCAAAACCCATACTTTGTTTAAAGGCAAATGCCATAGTTAAATTTTTAAAAAATTATTAATTTATTACATTCCATTTTGTTTTTATTAACTTATTTTTATATTCCAAAATTTTCTTGTGTATTCTTTTTGAATTCTGTGTTGTTTCTCATTCTACACCATTGCCACAGAGATTGTTCTAGGCAAGTGCTATGCCATGGGCTATATATATTCCTAGCTGAGATCTTTCTGAAACATGAATCCAGCATGTCAGATTTTTACTTAAAGACTTCAATGGTGCTTGGTAATTCCTCCCACACTCCACCCCCGGTGTATGTGTATGTATATGGTGCGTGTGAAAGACTTTCTGTGCAACCCTGGCTGGCTTTTAAAACTCATAACCACCTGTTTCTGCCTCCCTAGTGCTGAGATCAAAGATATGTGCCCCTACGCCAAGCAGAAAGCAAAACTCTTTAGTGTAGTTAAGACTTAGTGAGTTGGCCCATCTGTGATTCATATTCAGTTCTTACACTGAGGATAACTCTATTAATTTTGAACTGGAAACCATTCAGTGTTTTGGGAGTGTGGGTAATGAGTTAATAAGGGTTATATTTGAGTTAATAAGGGATTTGTACAAAACAAGGTCTGTTTTTTCTATAAGAAAGATCAATGGACAGGAATAAAAATTTCATTTCCACCTTTTCATAAAACAGGTAAAAGAAATCCAGGAAGAATTGGATAAATTAAGTCCACATAAAATTAAACATACTAAGAAGGTACGTTATAATTCTGATGAGTAATTATTAATAGAGTGCATTTTACTGTGTTTTGTCAGAGTTTATGTAAACCTGTTCTGAATGTGGAGTTGCCTTCCAAGGAAAAGGATCTGAAACAGGTCACTGTATGGTCACTCCTGGTATAGAGACAGGTCACTGTATGGTTATTCTTGGTCTATAGACTGAAATGAAAATATCTACACAGGGGCTGGAGAGATGGCTCAGAGGTTAAGAGCATTGACTGCTGCTCTTCCAGAGGTCCTATACTTTGATAGCTGGACCTTCGTTGTCAGCCTCAGTGGCCAAATAATGGAATAGACCTTGGTGGTTAGCTTTAGGAATGTAATCTAATAGTTTTATAGCAAGACAGAAGGAATCAGGGAGAAGGGCAAGGTCTGCCAGAGCCGTGCTCACCATGCTGGAGCTGGCCAGAGTGCCTTCACAGACAGCAGGAAAGACAAGAACCTGTTTCTAGAGAACTTGAGGTTTTTTAATTCTCTTCATATTGGGAAAGGTTTTACAACAGGGAACACTTTGTATAGCAGATAGACTCCAGATGTTCTTTTTTTTTTTTTTTTTAATTTTATACCTGACCACAGTTTTCCTTCCCTCTTCTCCTCCAAGTCTCCCTGCTTCCTTTGCCCCCTCCCCGCTCCCACATATCGACTCCTCCTCCTCCATTTCTATTCAGAAAAGGGCAGATTTATAGATATCAACAAAACACGACATATCAAGTTTGCAGTAAGACTAAGCACCTCCTCTTGCATTAAGGCTAAGTAAGTCTACCCAGTAGGAGGAGTAGGTTCCCAAAAGCCAGCAAAAGAGTCAAAGACAGCCTTTGCTCCCATTGTTACGAATCCTATCAGAATACCAAGCTACACAACTGTAACATATATGCAGAGGGCCTAGGTCAGTCCCATGCAGGTTCCCTGGTAGTTGATTCAGCTCCTATGAGCCCAGGTTAGTTGATTCTGTGGGTTTTCTTGTGATGTCCTTGACCCCTCTGGTTCCTACAATCCTTCCTCCCTCTCTTCAGCAAGATTCCCTGAGCTCAGCCCAATGTTTGGCTGTGGGTCTCTGCATCTGCTCCCGTCAGTTGCTGGATGAAGTCTCTCTGATGACAATTGGGCTCGGCACCCATCTATGAGTATAGCAGAATATCATTAGGCATCATTACATTGACATTTTTTTTTTTTTCTCCAGTTGTGTTTGGTTCTGTCCTAGGTCTCTAGGCCATCCAGCTTCTGGGTGCTGGTGCTCCAGGTAGTGTCAGGGGTGGGCTCACTCTTGTGACATGGGTCTGAGGCTGGACCAGTTATTAGTTGGCCACTCCCATAATGTCTGTACCACCCTTACCCCAGGTCATCACATTGGCAGGAGAGACAGTAGGTTGAAAGTTATGTGGCTGGGTCTGTGTCCCAATCTCTCCACTGGAAGTCTTGCTTGATGACAGGAGATGAAAGTTCAGGCTACTATCCCTTATTGCTAGGACTCTAGAAATTCTTAAAGATTGCTGTGGTGTTAGGAAGTCAGAACCTGAAGTAACCCCTTGCTTCTTGTTTGTTGCCAGTCGTGGGCAATGTCTAGGCTGGCAACTGCTCATCGAGGGGCCATCCGGGCCTTACAGATGTTTGTCACTCAGTTTACTGATCGAGGGAGCACCCACTTCCTGCCCGGTGTAAGGAACTAGGCAGCCTTATTCGTCAGCTTTCACTGTGCTCTGCCAAGCTGGATACTGATCCTTCTGTGCTAGATGTGGTCATAGACATCTTGCAGCAAATTGAGGTATGGAATGGACTCCAGTTTTTGTTAAAGGGTGTTGTTTCAAGGCAGGGAAATAATGCTGACTCTAGTTCCAGTCAATGAGAATACAAGACAAAGCTGCTGCCTGGTAACTTGGTGCTTTTCAGAGGATATAAGGTTTCATTTTTATTGTTTTTACAATAAAAACAATATTTGGTCTTTATTACATTTCTGGTCTTTATTACATTTCTCTTCTTTGAGAGAAGAAGAAATGATATAATAGGTCAAATAACACATACTGTAGCACCCATGCCCACGCATCATCTATACACAGAGCAATAAAAGAAAGAGAAAGGAAAATAGCAAGGAATTCTCAGATTAGCACTTAATTATTAGTATTTGATCTAGATAGGTTCTAGAAAAGAAATGCTTAGGATACATGCAAGTAAGAGCCTCAGATTTTAGGATGACTGGAAACATCTGGCATTCCCCAAGTGGCATGTGGTAATAAAGAATGGACAGTGGTTTTATTGGCAACAAAGACAGCATTAACAATGAGCTCTGGCTTTATAGTTTCATAGGTTTGTAGAGTCCTGCCACACAATGTAGCCTTTGATTCTTGCTGCAGTACACTGATTTGCAAATGCATTTGTTACTACTAATTTATATTGTTGCAGTGTTTTTTTTTTTTTTTTTTAAGATTTACTTATTTTCTCTTTATGAGTGCTATAGCTGCATGTACAACTTTATGTCAGAAGAGGGCATCAGATCCCACTATAAATGATTGTGAGCCACCATGTGGTTGCTTGGAAAAGAACTCAGGACCACTGGAAAAGCAGCCAGTGCTCTTAACTGCTGAGCCATCTCTCCAGCCCCCATTGTTGCTGTTTTTAAAGCAAAGGTCAGAGTGTTCTCTTAAAGGGTGGAACTAATAAGCCACCCATGCCAGTGTGGTGCATTTTCCTTTAAAAATAGGAAAAGATAACCTTATATTAACAAGCTATTGGTCCTCGTGGAAGAGTGGCATAGTGGAGAGAATTCTGTCTACCACTAACTGGCTCTTGTTGTCATTAAATCATGTTTTGCTACTACAGTCCTCTTGTTTAGCAAATGTCTGTAATTAACTTTGGTTGTATCTGTATAGACATAGCTCAGTGTCAGGAGTGTGAATGTCAAGGGTAGATCTCAGAACTTTTGATAGCATATCACATCATATCATTCATGCTTTTTCAACTTATGAAACAGTACTAAACAAAATAATTTTGTTTAGAGGATCTATCTTACAAACCCTGGAAAGGATCTCAGTGGTTACTCCATATCCTGAGCAAGAGCATCTTAAGCATATGTAGATCTCTCCCCTAATTTTAAAAATACTCAGTAAAGTAAGAAATTAAATTCTTGTTGATTCCTTGCCTGACTTACTATCTTGTTTCTATATGATCCTGCACATTTAGCCTCCCTGAATGTGTTCAGTTGTCTTTAATTTGTACTGACCAGTACTGCCTGGTGGTGAGTGAGTGGGTGTGCCTTAGAGAATGGGGACACACACCTCCTGCCATTACTGCCATAGACAAATAGCTACTGGACCCATTGTTAGCTTATGGACATGTGTGTTCAGTATAATGTATTTACCCACATAAAACACTACTTGAGTTTATGGGGTTTTGTTGGAAATGAACACCTTGTTAAAGTGCATACAGCTATGTTCTGGAGACTTGTTAGTTTCCCAAGTGATGATTCTTAATTTTAAGAATCTCTTTAAAATGGTCCCACTTGGAACATCTTTGTGGTTGATTTTAATGAGCTAAATGAGTAAAAGAACTTTGTAGGGGTTAGAGAGATGGCTCAGCAGTTAAGAGCACTGCCTGCTCTTCCAAAGGTCCTGAGTTCAATTCCCAGCAACCACATGGTGGCTGACAGACATCTGTAATGAGATGTGGTGCCCTCTTCTGGCTTACAGGCAGACATGCAGGCCGAACACTGTACACATAATAAATAAATAAATCTTAAAAAAAAAAAAAGAACTTTGTAGAAGTTATTTTTATAAATTAATCACATGTTGTAAATAATACTGATTGTAAATTAAGCGCAATACCTTGTTAGCCACTAGAGATTACCATTTAATGACATGTCTCTTTGGAAGGTGTTATTTTTCAGTGTTGTGACTAAAGTCATACTCCAGTGAGATAAACTAAGAGAATAATGACCTTTTTCATGACAGGCTTTGGAGTCTCTCCTGGAAAAGAAACTGTCACCTAAAAAGGTAAAGAAATGTATAACAGAAATTCAGAGCAGTTTTCCTATTGGTAGCCAAAGAATCTTAGAGAAATGGCCAACTGTACTGCCCAAGAATGAGAGGAGACCCTTGGTCACAAAGGAGACATTTCCACAGGAAGCCAGTCGACCTTCTGTGGCAAAGAGGCTTCTTGCTGGTATGTGTCACAAAATGTTACTGTGTGATATTTTACTCTGTCACAGTGACTGCAACAATTAGTGCCTGCAGGGGTGGGGTGGGTTTGAAGTGTTAGGACTGTGGCCCTGTCCATGAGAGCTGCCTTGCAGCTGGGATCGGAAGTAGCAGCCAGCATGTGTCCTAGAACTAAAGGCTGGACTATGCTTCTCCAGAAGACGTTGAACAAGGCAAATCCCCTTTGCTCTGTCATAGTGCTAAGCTGATTGTACTGTACTGCTGCATGTTGTGCATTTCTGGACCCCCAT